CAGTGGCGTCCTTCGGAAAGGTCCCACAATGTCAAGTGCAACATTATCAAAGGTACGACCAGGGGTGTCAGTGAGTATCAGAGGCTGTCGTGTCTTCTTTCTGACAAGTTTCTGTGTTTGGCAAATACGACAGCAGTGAATATACGAGTATTATTGTATATTCCACGTCATGTGTGTGTGTGTGTGTGTGTGTGTGTGTGTTTTTCCAGTCGAATTGTTGTTTAATTCTTAGGTATTGTGTCTTTGTGACACCCTTGTGACCACCACTTGCAGATGTGTGATACTCTCGAATGATTGCAATATGGTCTTCCCGCAGAGGCATCGTTGCCGTAACCGGAGATTTAGTGAACATTTTGTTAAAGTTGTTTTATACAAGCTGAAATTTTGTAAAGTTATTTTTTCCTACCTGAATAAGAAAACCGATCATCTGCCTGGTCAGCGGTGGTTAGAAGTGCGCCTTTAATTTTTTCAAATTGTAAAAAGATTGTAAGCCTTTTGCCGATTGAAGATCGATTATTCGAAATCCAACACGGTTACAGCCTACTATTGGAGGAAGTAAGTGTGTGAATGAAGGAGATGAAATCCTGAAATTTATTCTATTTTCCCTTTATTAAGTAACGACATATATTATAAGAATGGGTGTTTCACGGGAATGATCGTCGGGTCGAATATACTAGTTATGCCTTTGTCTGCAAGATGAAGAGAGCTACAATTATTAGAGGAAAATATCGGTTTCTTAATAATATTTGTTTATATCGCGTCAGCAGTTTCGAGAACGACTATTAATCATCATTCAAAGGTCAAACCCGCGAGTCAATTAAATAAAAATACATAAATAGAATAATTAGCGAACGACAAATTCAATTTCACCTCTCGAGACGAATATACAGCAACTTATCACTTCCAATTTACAAGAACTACTTAGAAATGCGTATCGTATGAGAAATATGACATGAACATGGCGGTATGAATACTCATCTTCGGTGACGAAATATCTTGTCCCTCGTTGGCTCCTTCTTATGCTTCGGAGCCGGATGGGAGAACAAGAGTAGGAGAGGCGTAGAACTTTGTTCAGATTCACAGTCTCCTTGTCCAAGAAGGTTCCAATTCCGAATTCGTCGCCTCTGCGAGAGCCTTCTCAGAAAATAAGTATTTTCTTGTACAAGGCCCCGAAACGAAAGAGATCGAGCTCTTGCTCGATCCCTCGATCTCGTCTCTCTGTTCGCCAGGCATGCGCAGGGGATCTCTTCCCTTCCTTCTCGTCTAGCTAGAGGAGGGATAGCGCACCGCTATCTTACAAAATTTTGAAACTAACGTGAAGTATACAAGTTGAAATTTGAATATATAAAATTTTATGCCTTTTTGAGGTAAGAAAAAAAGGCAGGCGTCCTGATTGGTTCAAACCTAGTGGCAGGCGATCGTAAAGTTGTATTAATTATTAATGGCGGTACTTAACTTTTATTTCATAAAGGTATTTCATAACATTAGAAACATGTTGCAATTTTTACAACGTGTTTCTAATGCTATGAGAGTAATGTATGTTGAAAGCTAGACCGATTTAACAAATAAAACAGTATGAAAAGTAGTAAGTAGTGTTTTCCGTGAGTACGATGCAGCCCTCTGACACTCTTTTATACCGCTTTCACTGAACAATGACCAGATAATGACGCCGCCCACTACGTGGCGCTAGTAGGATATCTTGGCCGGCTTACATCGGCTATGATTCACTTGACGTTACAAATGCGTCGAAGCGTACTTCTTCTCTTTTCTTTTAATAAAGAAAGAAGGAGAAAAAGAACATTTCGGAACATTTGTGGCGTAAATTTACTACCTAATGTACGAGTACAACCAACATTAATGTTAGAATGAAAATCGATTAAACATTAAACTTTAGTAACAAAATAATACTAGCAATCCAGCGACAGTACACATTTTAAATACAATACATTCTCTTTCTGTCTTTAAGATTAGTATGCGAAATAGTCCTATCGACTAGAGTTGAAATTATGATTAATATATTCTTTTTCTTTTCCATTCAAGTAATATAATAATAATGCATAATACTGCATATTTATAAAGTATGTAGCATTTATAAAATATGTAGCGTATGTAGTATATATACAAAGCTAAAAATATATGCTAGCAAAAGGGATAGTAAAGGAAAAAACCGACATTATTGCAAGTAACATTTATCGTGACATTGTATAAACAATTTATATTACATATTTCATTATACACATGGTTCTTTTATGACGTACAAAATTTTGAAACTATTTTTGTTGTTGATACGCCTTTTTCTTTTCCTGATTAATTTTTAAAGAAAATTGTCGCATACGCATGAGAATATAATATTGTATTAGATGAGGAATAATATCGTGCATATGATCTTTGCACGGAAACGTGAATGAAATTTCTTTCAAAATATCTTCTAACACAAGTTCAAAAACTGCGCCTGAATGGCAGTGTTTTTGGAAAAAGAATTCAAGTTGTCTAACAAATTGATAACATTTTTCATTCGGATGGATAAGATAGCCTTCACTTTTCATATTAGTTAATCGGGCAGCAGGATGATTAGAGTACGTAGTTGGACTTATGAACGCATTCTTACAAAGCTGACACTGTACATATTTTGTGATCTGTCTTGAAAGATAGCCGGTCACATAATAAATTACACAATCCATTACAATAGGCAAACAGTAATCGTGATCTATAACGTCTTTCACATCCCAATCTTCTTGTTTAATCGCTGCATCTAATTTGTCTTTGACGGTTTGAAGAAGAGTATGAGAAGATGCAGGCTTTTGATATATCGCCTTCAATTGAGACAGTGAAATTTGGGGAGCTTCCGAAACGTCCTTATGTACAGTGCAATTTCCCGTTTTAGGCGGTTTTAGGATACTATATAGAGATAAAATCTTATACATTTGTAGAAACGTGGGAGTAGCAGGATGATCATTTGCGCCTCCAGCTTGTCGGATAGTTCCAAAAAATTTCTGCTTTTGTTATGGATTAAAGAAATAAACGATAATTGAAGAAAAAATAAAAGCCGATCTACATCTATCATAATGTCTATAGTAAAGTATAATACAATAATATGAACTATTTACAACTAAAAAAAAAGAGCAACGCAGTTTGGAATGATTAGGTAAGTATATGGATATTAAAAAGAAAGGATGGGACCCAATTGACCACGTCGCCAATTAACTAATTTGATATAAAAATTTATAATTGATTGATTATAATGGAAGTCAATGTGATTGATTGTGATCAATCAACATGGTCAAAAGGGATACTCCCAAAAGAAAGGATTATGAAAACGAACCTCAAGAGCATCTTGATTAATTCTTCCAGTTAACACATAAGAGAATTTACAATGCTGCAAGAGGTACTGGGTAAGATCGAGTGTGGATTTTATTGTTACACGAAAATCCTCTGCTGTTTGTTTTGTCAGAAAAGATGTTTCTGGTAACAATCCATCTCGCACTTTCTGTTCCCAAGCATCTAGTTTTTGCAGTGAATCCTGCAACATCTGTAATAAAAAAATCAAAATAATGATGATTTCAAATAATTTATTTCTTTGTCTTCATGGACTGTCATTGTTACAGTTTATTTTTAAAAGATGGAGACCTTATAATCGGCATTGCCTGGTTTTAATCCCTGCGCAGGCATTTTTCGGTTCAAACTGTCGAATAAATCGTTGATCCATTCACATGGCTCTGTGTTTTGTAAAATAGTTGCTTGTTTTAATGATGGAATATCAATGGAATCATTTGTATAATGATTGCATTGATACTCAATTAACGAAGTCGATGGTGTTATCGAATCATTCTGCTCATTTTCTATAACATTTTCCACCCACGGAAACAAGGATGGAATCGCTCCTTCTTTTAAGCGAGGAATTTTATAAGTTGACTGGAACAATGAATAAACATTCTCAATGTCAAGGATGAAAGTATGGGCCACAATATACCCAGCGAACACAATGTTACATTACATGTACATTTTTCTTTACTTACCACACCGAGCACAGTTCCATCGGATCCTAATAGTTTTCGTTCTCGAAGAATATCATCTTTTTTAAAATGATATTCACAAACTCCTTGCGTGCATTTCAGTACCAAATCTGGACGTTTAATCGCGATTTGCCAGGCTTTTTGCCTTTCTTCATTTTTTGGAACAGTGAAAAAGTGAACTTTTTCATTGTTGTTCTTATAACCTGACGTACATCCTGGTACGATGCAACGCATATTTTTCGATCCACATTAATTTTTGTACGAAAATACAATTACTTATTCCAGGATTTTTGTTTCACAAATAAACGACTTGTTCACACCATAGACTTATATAGTTCACACAATTACTTTATCACACTCTATTGAAATGCGATGATGCAATTTCTGAAGCGGACAAGGTATTCTACTAGCGCCACGTAGTGAGAAGCGTCATTATGTGGTCGGCTATAACCCTCATGTGCCCTGTCCTTATATACAGGGTGGTCTAAAAGTCCCGGAACGGTTGAATATCCCGAGAAATTGTGGGTGGATCGGAAAACGGAAAAATACGTATTTCCTATTTTTGAAAGAGCTATCGAATGATACCAAAATTGACCCCCCCCCCACCCCCACCCCTGTGGGTGGGGCGGGGGACAACTTTAAAATCTTAAATGGGAACCCCTACTCTTTATTGCAGATTCGAATTCTACGTCCAAAAAAACGTAAATTTTGTCTAAAACTTTTTTTTCGATTCCTGATAGATGGCGCTGCATTCGGCGAAAATTGGTTAAATCGTTTTCTTCAAGGGAAATCCCCATGTTTTATTGCATAATGATGCTACGTTGAAGAAAAGTAACTTTTGTCTGAAACATGTTTGTCGAATTATCGTATGTAGATGTCTACGACAATTTTTTATCCGTTCTTAGCTTTACCCAGGATTAACGACGTGGACGTGACGGAAATTATAATCCCTTTGGGGTGCTTGTTTATTGTGAGTCCCCTCGCCTCTCACCATCGGGGTGCTTTATCTTCGTAAGAATTCGAAGCGGTGGATTTGTTTTCACATAGTCGTTCGTTAACACTTTCATAGCTTGAATCCATGATCTCATTAATTTTGGAGTTAATGGATTCAAGCTCATTAGAATAGCCTATTCTCAGTGTGTCATCAGTATTAGCATCTTCATCATCTTCACAATCTTTACCATCTTTGTCATTCGGCGTCTCCTTGAAGCGTGCTTTTTTTTCGCGGTCGCAGTTTGTATGTGGTGCGTGGACGCAAAGAAAGTTGGACTATTTTGAGGTGGGGATCTAGAGGGTTAGCCGATTCATCAGACCCGAGATTACAGTCCGCGTGGTGATTCAGTGCAGGTAGAAGCCATGGCTTGCTTTCAAGATAGTTTGTCATCATTTGAATCGGTATAGGAGGTGGTGATGGATTTGCAAGAAGAGAGACGACATTTTTTATGGATTGGATAAATGGCAAGATGAGGTACATAGGAAGAGTAAACATATAGATATAAGATTTCACTTTACAAGAGAATTAGTAGAAAGAAAAGAAATTAAAGTGACCTACCTAAGTAACGACCAAATGTTAGCAGATGTCTTAACAAAATCCTTGTCAAAGATTAAACACCAAAGGTGTGTAGCTATGTTAAATTTAAGCTAGTATAGGATTTCGAGTATTAACTTTTATGTATTTGTAGTTTTTTTAGTTAAACGCACCCATAGATAGGCGGAGTGTTATAGATGGATCTAAGGATGCGTAATGTTTGTATTTCGCGCGAGTTTAGATGTCGCCCTTATGGCTCTAGGGTAAGCGAACCTATTTCGGAACACTTTTTATAAAACTTGCTGTATCTTTTACATAAAATCTTCTAAAACAAATCTGATATATGCTAGTTAAGAAGTCATCCTTTAACTATTAATTAGGCATAAATAAATATTTTAAGAAGACTTTGTTTTTAAATGGCGGACAATCAATTCAAGTACTAAATTTGTTCCGAATTAGGTTCACCTGCACCTAATTCGGAACAGCTGAATTTTGACCTGCTTCTCATATATGTATATTAAACTAGGACAGCTAGGAAATGTTGTGGTAAATAACGTTTTTCCCATTCTTCAAAACTATGAGAGAGATTAGAAGTGTTCCGAATTAGGTTCATGCACCTATTTCGGAACAAAACTTATCATACAAAACTGAACAGTAAAAAGTCTGAATTTATATATAACAAGCTTGAAATATAATAAAAAGAGCTTTAAATCCGTTAAATTTAAGATGCTAGGTAAATGTTATACACAAGGTAGCTTTATATTTGGGAACACGCTGAAAAAATAAAAGTACCCAATTTTGAACAAATTTTTAAATTTATTTATAGCTATTTTGACATTTTTTATAGGCCCTTTCATTTCATCGGTAATAAAAATAAAAACATTTTGAACAGTAAATAAAACATTTTGAACAGATAGCCTTTTTGGAATGATCTACTTTACATGTATATCACAACTGTCCAATCTCTATCAGACACAGCCTTTGGATTATCTTCATCTGCGCTTGAGTCACTTTCTACCTTTATTTCTACCCTTCTATTTTTGTACTGGCATCTGTACTGTTTACTTTTTGCTGGTCTCTTTTTAACTGGCTGCTTTTTTTCGCTTTTTTTGTTATTTGCAACTTCTTGTTTCTTTTTGTTCAATTCTTTTTCTTTTAATTTCATTTCTTTTTCTTTTAATTTCATTTCTTTTTCTTTTAATTTCATTTCTTTATTCTCTAGTTTTCTCTTCTTAATTTCTTCTTTTTCTTTCAATGCTTTTTCCTTTGATGCTTCTTTTTCTCTCATTTCTACTAAAAATTCCGGTGCAATTAAGAGTCTTGTGGCAGTAATTTTTCTAGATTTTGAAATAGTTGGAGTAATGTCTGGAATAAACATGTTCTTTATTGCCAGTACTACAGGGGATTCAAATGCAACAGGTTTTTGAAATTGATCAGGAATATCTATAGTTGAATCCCTTTGATCTTGTACATCAAGTGACGATTTCTCGGATGGTTTCCACGCAAATTGAGAGAGTGATACCTGTGGCACAATATTTGAGTGCTTTACATTTTTCGTGATCTTATTTGTGATATCACAACAGGCAATTCGCTTTGATGTTGTAACAGGCATGCTTCTCTTTTTTTGAAAAACTGAAAATAATATTTATATAAAAAATTTTGACAAAGAAAAATAAGAGTATCTTGCAATCATTTATAAGTACCTAGACTTTTACCATTTTTATTTTTATCAGAAACTTGGGATTCTCCTGTTTTAGTAAACTGAGTGACCTCATTAAGGGATATACACTGATTGGTTTGTTCTGGTATAGAAACAGTAATCTCAGTAGAAGCAGAAGTCGAAGGATGAGTTGAAGATTTGGCTGAAACAAAGCATAATTTTTAGTTTAAGAAATTACTGTTCTAACTGTACTAAAGTGTCTTGCGGCAGAGAATTTCCAAATACTTCTTACCTGGTTTCTTATTATTGAGTTGAACAGCATTAGGATTGAAAGGCCAAATGCCACTGCACCGAAAACCAGCAGTTATATTATTTGGTGTGATTGCTTTTCTCCATGCTGGGGTAAGAATTTGACATATATCATTTCTTCCAAAGTTCTTTTTCTTGTTTTTGCGAATAAGTTTGTCTACTTCTTGAGAGAAAACTTTCTTGAATGGTCCAAACACACCTCGATCCAATGGCTGAAAGAGATGGGTTGTGTGAGGTGGAAAACAGAGTAGAGTGATTTCATTTTGAAAGGCTAACTCCAAAACGCTCAAATTGATATGGGATCCATGTCCATCCATAAGTAAGAGTACAGGCCTTTTTGGAGGAATATCATTTATGAAGCGTTTGAACCACATTTCGAATAGTTCACTGTCAATAAAACTCCTTGCAGAATAAGCAAACAACATACCATCCATGGCATTTCTCATTTGCTCCTCACTTAAAGATTTTCCTCGAAAAATAATCATAGGAGGAAGTATAATGGTGCCAGTAGCATTCACTGTAGCAAGGAGAGTGACATTTTGACCTCTTTCACCTCCTTTTTTTGCTCGGACATCGCGAGTACCAGAAGAGCATAAAACTTTCCCACTTTTCAGTACTGTACAAATACCTGTTTCATCTAGATTGAATATTGTTGTGGCATCCAATCCTTTCGGGATAAGATCATCCAGCACTGATTTCAATTTTGAAAAAAATTCTTCTTTTACTGACTCAGTTGTCATGGACAGTCTTGCAGCAGAAATATTCTGTGGTTGCCTTAAACTTAAATTGTTTCTTTTTTTAAATCCTATAAACCATTTCTGGGATGGCAATCCAGCTTTGAAAGGTGGTATGTTTGCCTTGTCACACACTTCCACTGCCAAGCTTTTCACGTCTGTCTTATTTAGACCATAGCCCATATTGACTAGAGTATCACAGGCTTCTTTGATTTCTTCTTCGTATTCTTGCAATTTAACTTTGGGTCCTCTCTTGTGCCCTTTATTAATGCCAAGTGCATGATTCCGAATGGTTTGGAATGGAACATTATACATTTGTTGTGCAACTCTTAAAGACATTCCTGCATCACGTACAGCACTGACAGCCATGGCGAGATCTTTCTCGGAATAAACCGGCATGATGAACCTAATAATTAAAAAATAATCTCTGAAAAATAATTTTTTTAATAATTTTTCTAAGCGGTTGTTAAGAAATTGTAATAAGAACGCGTCTGTTCAATTTAAAAAAATACGTAGTTATTAAAAATAAGTAGTTTAAAGCAAGATAAATTAACAAGAAATAAAAAAGTTTGTGAAAACAGATATGCATTTCAGACTATTTACAACAATTTCCACAAAGAAAATAGAATTTTAATTAATATTTCAGGAAACTATAATAAATTGTCTTTTAAATAGATATTTCAGCTGCTAGAATCAATGCATAAACGTAAAATAATGAATCATTTAATTTTATATCAAGCGCGACCTGCCTAACCTCAGCCTACATTTGTCTGTTTTCATATATAGCCGCATTTCGCAACAACATAGTTTCATAATTCAATTAAGCAACGATTATCTTCCTTGAACCTTTAACTGTTGTTTAAGTCTAAAATATAAGAGAACGAGCAAGTAATATAAGAGAAAGATGAAATTATTGTACTTACCGTAACTCATCCCGCTCAGAAGCGCCCTGACATGACAACCAATAACAAAAATATACTATTGTCAATTATTTTCTGTATGTACTGTTCATTTCTTCACATCACAAACTTTATTTACGATGCTCTTTATCACCAGCATTAAAATTTGACATTACGTGATAGCTAACAGGAGCAAAATTAAAGTGTTCCGAAATAGGTGCTGTTCCGAAATAGGTTCGCTTACCCTATCCTTTTGTTTGTGTGTCGCCACGTGTGCCCCTCCAATATCCACTTCCGTCTTCTTCCCGCTAGCTTGCGTGGTCACGCTGCACACGACATACGAGTTCTCGCGTAGATTCTGTATAAAAAACTTACCTTTATTATATTATATATAATATATATAAAAAAGGTAAAAAAAAGCACGCAGTATGAGCTCCAATTCAAACGAATATATTTTGTTACTCTATCTTGTTTGCAAAAGTATATTCTCTACAAAAATATCTTCTCAACAAAACTATCTTCTCTACAAAAGTAATGATATCAACAAATTGCGCCAAATATAACAACGGATATTTATACAAACTAGTTGCTTTAGTATTAGTTTTTGATTATAAACTGTTATATTTTTTAAAAATCAAACTAAAGATTTTATTGGAAAAAATAATGGAGTTAATAATAAAACACCGATGAAAAGAATAGCAACTGTTTAGAAATTTAGAAACTCTGTATCTATTCAGGCGAATTAAGGCCTGTGTCCATGATGCTAGTACTTGGTCCAAGTTCTAATTCCGCGAAATATGTAGCCAATCAATATAGCTGTTCCACAAAAGCTGCAAGTTGATTGGCTACGCATTTCTCAAAACTAGAAAAGGATGCTGGTCTGGTCGACGACGACGACGACGACGAGGACGACGACGAGGACGACGACGACAAAGATGTTTCTTAAGCCAAAATTTCACAAAACTGACTTTGCATTGCAATTGCATTGCAATACCTCTACTCATGGGGCACGTAGGAGAAAAGTAAAAACACTTTTATTATGCAAATCGTACCCAAGCTATCGATTAAGCGTAGTCTCAAGTTCGTCAGATCAGCCGTTGTTGAGATCCGAAAATCTGAGGGCCCGTCAACTCGTGTACTCGCGTAAACTTACACGGTCGGTCTCGCGCGCGTGTACTAGCTACGCTTACACTTGGCGCGAGACACTACAGTGTCTCGTGATTACTCTGATGTATATCTCATACAGTGGTGATTAAACACTCATATATACAACATACTGGAGCCGATTGAATGCCGAACGTCTTTAATACCATCCATCCATCATTTTTCTTGAAAGATTTGTAAATGCAGTCTTTGACATTTCGATTACAAATATTGTTGTGTAAATACTATGTTCAAAATCAATCTGAATGATAATTATTTAATCAGATTATAGCAAGACAACGTCGAAATGACGTGTCAAATACGTAATTTTGATGACGATAACGTCATGTGACTTAAATGGTACATAATTTTGACGTCATTTTAAATACTAAAATAGTACGTCATTACTGTTACGTCAAAAAGACGTACCATTAATGCTGAAGATTATCTTTGACGTTAATGATACGTCTTATCGTCATCGTCATCAAAATTACGTATTTTTCACGTCATTTCGACGTTGTCTTGTAAGCTGGGCAATGTTGAATAAATATTTAATAATCGTTTAATAAATGTCATTTTAACTCATAAATAGATTTAATATCGCCAGGCGTATAAAACCAATGATATATAGTTTTTTTAAAAACGACCTACTCTGGCCAATGTTTTTATTTAAAAAAACAAACGACGTTTCGGTCCCGGATTTGGACCCTTTTCAAGTAATCTGTAAACCGTACATAACTTAGCACTAAATATTTTTAAAATAAAGTAAAATAAAAAGGGGGAAGTAGTTATAGCGAAAGTAAATTGTAAATCTATACCTGTTCACACCATTGTTACTGAACTCATATCGCTCGTTTGGCCAATATCGTTATGATAATAAGCTGTGAACAAGCAAGAGAGTCATTACACTATACGTTATTACGAATTAATAAATATCAAGAATGAATAAAAATAAATAAGAATAAATAAGAATAAGTAGGAATAAATAGGAATAAATATGAAATAAATAAACTTACATATTATTCAAAACATGATTGCACTGTTTGGTTGAAGAGTACAGAGTCGATTGAAGTTGCATTACTAATTGTAAGACACAAGTAAAAGTGTCGAGAGATGTGTGTTAGACGAGATGTCAAATTGAACTGACGAATGACAAATGTAGTTATCAAGAGACATGTGTTGGACGGGAGAAATCAAATTGAACTATCGGATAACGAAATAAATAAGACGAATGAGAAAAATAATGAGTGCACGATCAAACCTAATATAAACAATAAATACAAAATCACATATATTCTAACACTTTATCATATACGGAATTTAGATTTTTAGTGTCCCTTTTTAAGTTGATAGCGTTCTTTTGCTTTTTTATGAAGAACATCTCACCAATTTCGCGTTTATATGTATGTTTTTCATTATGCATTATAAAATTTCAGGTTCCAACCATTTAAAGTCATGTTCATAAGTTAACCGGTTGCTTACTACCGATAATATTATTTTAGTAGAATACATTGTACAGTGTCTACCTACTTATTTATAATATAATACCTACTTATTTATAATAATATTAATGAAAAGTAATTATTAAAATACATTTTACAAACATCGTAGGCCCATTGAGACGTAAACACAGTTTACAAGAAAATATTCCCCCGACGTGGACCCGCGCACGCTAGTACGGCGCTGGTACGGCGCTAGTACGGTACGCCACCACTACGCGGCGAACACGCTCAACGCTAACTCGTATTTAAGATTAGTTTACCGAGGCATATAAGGCGAACCGGGAAAACCACAGCTGCCGCTTGTGGCGATGTGATATCACTTGTGACGTTATTCTCTTCGTTGGGTTATCGATCTTTAGCGTCGATTTAGAATGTCTTCGTTGGATTGTCGATTTTTTGGTATCGATCTGGGAAATGTTTTTTTCTTTGGATTAGCAGTCTTTAGAATCGATCTAAACGTTCTTTCTTCGTAGGATTATAGATTTGGAAGTTTACTTTTAAATGTAAGTTCCCTCTTATGAGCAGCTAGATATCTTAATAGGAGATAGCGGAGTTTCTGCTAAATTAATACAGATCATCTGTTTATTCCACCATGAATTTATTGCCCTTGGAGTGATATCTGTTTAATGACAAATTGATTGTTAGATCGTGTAATCGTTGTGAAAAAAATTGTGATTGAGTTGGACGTCGAAAACCTGCTATCTCATAATACAGAACTTTCCTCTATTTGAATTTGATTTCGATTATTGGTCTTGTGGTTTTTCTTAGCGTTGATTTTAAGAAAAGTAAAAGATAGTTTTTGAATAATTCGGTACGGTCCGACGTATTCGCGATCGAGCTTATAGGTTTCGGCGCACGATCGCAAATAAATAAAATATCCAGTGTTATAGGTTTCTGGGTGGATACGTTTATCGTAATACTGTGTGGACGATTCCTTAGCTTTTATCAAATTTGTTCTCGTGGAAATTTCTAACTTGTATCCGCTCGAATAATTTCGATAGGATGTCGTTATATGTCTCGGGCTCGTTGTCAGTTTTAAATTGAAACGGAATGCGTGCGGTAAGTTCAAAAATTAATTTGTGAGGTGAATATCCTGTTCTCTCATGGACGGCTGTATTGTATGAAAAACTTGCTCGTTCAAGGAGATCATCCCAACCATCTTCTCTGCTCATAAACATTTCAGTTATTCAACAAGTACTATGTGAGACCGTTCCGCGGAACCGTTCATTTGCAGGAGATATGTCGTAGTGGAAAGCTGCTTTATGCAAAATCTTTTTACGATGCTCTTTATGAAGCTGTTGATTAAGTACCTTCCCTGATCGATCAGTATATTTTTAGGACATCCGCACCGGCAAGTAAAATAATAAATGCTCTAGCAACGGTTTCGGCAGTGCCATCAGGCAATGGCGCATATACAGGGTGTTACTTAAAGACCGCCCACCAAGTACATAGCGTTATTCCTTATAAAATTCTGAGTCGAAAAGTCCTGAACCATTTTTTTCTATCATTCTTAATAATGAATGAGTCAATCCACTGAGCACCGGCCTTTAGCCGGGCGGTACGTCAGTGAGCCGCGCGCCTGGTAGTGTGCGCGAGCGCTCGGCCGCCGTGGCCCTCGCTCGCGCCGCTATCGTGTAATATTACGCATCGTAATATTAGAAATAAATTTTTCTTATGCCAAGAATTATATTCCTCCTATCAAAAGTACCTCCTTTTATAGAAAATTTCGACGGATAGAGCTTTTACCAAGACTTAATCATTACTATGAAGAATTTGACAAACACAAAAAAAATTCTGTGTTTTACAAAAATTATTTTCCGAACAATCTATGTTTTTATAAATCTTTGCGTTCGCACTTAATTATTAAGACAAATCGTTTATTGAATCTTTTTACGAGTGATTTCATCCAGTTACTCAGAAGTAATAAATTTTGTAAGAGAAGTCTCTTATAACAATTATACATTTAAATAACACATACTTAAAAGAAAAATAGAGGAAATTAAAAATAGAGAAAAATGTCTTTCTTTATAATAAAGATTTATTCTCTATTCATAATATTGAATACAATTTTCTCTCTGATATTAGAGGCCGACAAAAAGAATTTTATCAAGCAACTCCAATCAGATTAGGTGTTTTTATAGATTTTTAATAAAAAAAAGTAATCCTGCTGACCAAATTGCTCCATCACATTAGCAATTCGCTCACAGAGTATGGGTTGAGTTAGGTGCAGTTGTTCTTTTTAACTACATGATTTGTGTTAAAATTAAAAAATTCGACATACTTGATAATAAAAGATAACATAATATTCTTCAATTATTTAATAATGTAGGAGAGGAACGCTTTATTTATTGTTGCAAATGAGAGAAATTTCCTGACGTTTTACAATATTAGTAGTCTTGAAAAGAACTGTTTTGCAGTAAACTACTAGCCTTGAAAAGGACTGTTCTTTAGTCCTGCGAAGAACTTATTGAATTGAAGTTTTTAAATAGGCCGCGTTAGCTTCGATGCAACGTTTCCGCAGAATTAAATTTTCTCGCACGCATCGAAGCATTGGTCCATCAACAAATTTTAACGCCTCGACATACATGCGTTAGTACCATGTCTTGCTGGAAAAATATAACTGTTCTTTGCGACAGGAATTTCTTCCAGAAGAAAATCTGGTAGACATTGTATTAAAAAATCCGCATAATTTCTTCCCGTAAAGCAAACATCTTTCGTACATAGTGATACATATGTATTGTAAACTGATCGAGAGATTTTTAATATTTATACCGTCGAAATA